TTTGGCAATGAAACATTCCAGCGCTCCACCCCCTTCATCATCATTAGCTGCCTGGATATGCTGTGATTTTTTTTCATTCTGAGAAATTGGAAGGAATGGAAGTGCGGCAAGTTATAATTCCCCACGATGGAATGGGAATGAAATTATGCCACCCATTCCGCAACCCTGGTTCTGACCATCCCCAAAAGGTGAGAATCATGCAATCAATCACTCACACGTGTTATCAGTAACTCATTTCCCGAACCTCACAAGACTCAAACAATCTTCCAGGATCAATACGTCTGTTGTTCATAATTCTCATATTCCTCACAAGACTCAAACAATCTTCCAGGATCAATCTCGTCTGTTGTTCATCATTCTCATATTCACGAAGTTTTATACTGTTATATAACTAATTATGTGATTACAGTAAACTCCTGTTAAGACAAACTTTGTTTAAACGAATTCTTGCTTAAGACAAACAACATGGGAATGTTTGTTTGGTTTCCCATAGACTTTATGCAAAAAAAAATCTTAAGATGAACCATGTAACAGGCCTCTTGTGTGAAGATGAACTCTCACAGCGACTGCAGATTCTGCGCAACGAACATTATAGTCTTGGTGGAGGCGTTCAAACGAACAACAGGAGGCAAAATGAAAAAACAAAAACAAGAAAGCATTCTTAGCAAAAAGACTCTATGGCAAGCCGTCAGCGTCTTGGAGAAGGCGAAGTTGTGCTGCAGCTGCTCCGCGTGTTCGAGCCAGCACGAGAGAAGAAGAGGCCAGCAAGAAGGACAGCGTCTGCGGACGTCTATGCCAGAGCAGGGATAAATAAAATATGTGACAAACCAAACACTGCACGTCTTCCTACAAATGGTGACCCGGATTTTGAGCGGCGACGCGCACCTCCTCGTCTTTTCATCAACGCACCGAGCGTCGGGGCCAGCTCTGCTTCTTCAGCCCCGTTTATTTCGGCAGACCATGGACACTACACCCAACAGTGCCGCCACGTCAAATCCCACGGTACCTGACCCTGTCGTCGCTAGCCTCGGGCTCCCGGAGTTCTGGCAGGCGGACTCTGAACTCTGGTTTCTGAGCGACGAGCCACTCCTCCGACGACACCGGGTAACGTCGCAAACAGAGAGGTGCGATCACGTCATCGGCGCTTTACCACCTGCTGTCATCGCCATCGTAAGAGACATTCTGCGTTCTCCACCTCCTGACTATCCCTACAACACCATTAAAGAGGAGCTCGTACGCCGGACAACGGAGTCGGAACAGCATAGGCTGCAGCAGCTACTCACCTCGGAAGAAATTGGTGACGGAGCTTCTGCGTCGCATGCGACACCTGATCGGGAACCACTCTGCTGCATTGGAATCATCCATTCTATCCAAACTAATCTTACAGCGACTGTCACAGCAGGTGTGGATGATTTTGAGCGTATCCTCTACAGAAACACTCGACTTACTAGCGCGGTTGGCCCACAAGATTATGGATATCGATGCACCGTGTATAGCTGCGATCGGAAGACCACATGAATTTACCCTCTCTGCACCGGTCCGCGACGACCGCTTGGACCGCCTTCTTCAAGCTAACGAGGAGCTCAACCGCAAGGTGGATCAGTTGGCCACTGAACTGAGCGTGCTCAAGGTAGACCACTGCCGCAACGCGTCACGACAATGGCTCCAAAGCCACGAAAGATCACTAAGTCTGCCTCTCGGATTCTGCTGGTACCAACACCGATACGGAGCTTGAGCTCGTCAGTGCAAACAGCCATGCCAGTTTGCGGGAAATGCACGGGCCACGCACTGACGGCGGCTAGTGTTTCAGGCCTGGCATACAGCCGCCTATTCTACGTCGCGGACCTCTTCACCAAAGTCCGCTATCTCATCGACACAGGTGACGAAGTGTATGTTGTTCTCCTTCGCTGGAGGACCGCCGACAACGCCAGACTTCGCCGCCTGTCGCCGCGGTCAACAGTTCGACCATATGGACATATGGACAGAGGTCTGTTACACTTGACATCGGCTTGAGATGCATGTTTCGGTCTATGTTCTTAATTGCCGACGTGCGTGTACCCGTCATCGGCGTGTACTTTCTTTGGAATTTTAAGCTTGTGATAGACCTACGACATAGCCGTCTCGTGGATTCTGAGACCCTCCTCACAGTTCAGGGCGTGACATCAAATTTGTCACACTTGTGTCTCGTGCAAGCTCATGCCAAAGTCTCCCCGCCGTGGTCTACGCTTCTGCAAGAATTATCCGACCTCTTTCGTGCTCCATCTCTTGAAGACTCGATACGCCAGAATGTCACTCATCACATAGTGACAGTAGGAGCGCCAGTGTTCGCAAGTGCTCGTTATCTCGCTCCTGACTGCTACAAAATTGCACGCCAAGAATTTGAGCACATGCTTAAACCCGGATACGTCCGCCCTTCTTCCGGTGCTTGGTCATCACCGCTACACATGGTTCCCAAGCCCTCACGTGAGTGGAGACCATGCGGCGACTACCGCACCCTCAACGAAGTGTCGGTAAAGGTCCGCTATCCGATACCGCACATCCAGGACTTCACGGCATTGCCACCGTATTCAGCAAAATCGACCTAGTAAAGGCATACCACGAAATACCTGTCGAGCCTTCCGACGTACCGAAGACTGCCATAATAACACCTTTTGACATGTTTGAATACACGCGTATCCCCTTCGGTCTAAGAAACGCCGCACAAACCCTTCAACGGTTCGTGGACCAGGTACTTCATGGTATGACCTTCTGCTTTGCGTACATCGACGACATCCTTGTCTTCAGCATCATTGCAGAAGATCACGAACTTCACCTGCGTCAGGGTTTCACACGACTACGCAAATATGGACAAGTCGTCAACGAACCAAAGAGCGAGTTCGGAGTTTCCTCACTGGACTTTCTTGGCCATCACGTAGATTCACATGGGATCTCTCCACCGGCCGCCTGTGTTGAAGCTATATTGCAGTTTTTACAACCAACAAATACGAACAAACTGTGAATTCTTCGGGCTTGCCAACTATTACCGGCGGTTTATTCCTCATTGCGCTATCTTGCAACCACTCTATGTACTTCTCTCCGGTCACACGAAGCCCAACGCTTCCATCTTCTGGACACGCGATGCAGAGACAGCTTTCAGTTCCGTCAAGGAAGTTCTGGCTAACCCAACGCTCCTGGCACATCCAAAGATCGACGCCATCACGTCCCTCACAGTGGACGCCTCGGACGTCGCCATAGTAGCAGTCTTGCAGCAGCTGGTTGACAGAGTTTGGCAGCCGGTTGCTTTCTTCTCACGGAAGCTCTCACAGACCGAGCGTCGTTATAGCACATTCGATCGCAAACTGCTCGCAGCCGATTTGGCTGTCAAGCACTTTCAACACTTTCTAGAAAGTCGGCGGTTCCATATCTTTACCGACCACAAGACGTTTACGTGTCAATTGACCGTTATCAACTCTGCCCACACCCCACGTGAGATCCGCCAGCTTGCCTACGTATCGGAGTTCACGAGTGATATCCGGCACATCAGTAGCAAAGACAACGCCGTTGCTGACGTGCATTCCCGAATAGAAATCAACACATCTATGGATCGTGATCGAGCCCCCGACTCTGACGATAATTTTACACAAGAACTCTACTCTGTTGTCTTAGATCTAACTTCTCGCTTTCCCCGTTCGAACTTCTTGTTTTGTGGCGACTTCAATTTCCCAGACATTGATTGGGTTCACCTAGCCGCTCACTCACCCCTTTCAAGAAACTTTTTAGATTTGTGCTTTATGTTTAATTTTGCCCAAATGGTTACTATGCCCACTCGTGGTACCAACATACTCGATTTATTTTTGGTCTCAACTCCCGATCTTGTAAACTCAGTTCAATGCGTAGACGGTATCAGTGACCATAAAATTTTATTAATTGGCCTTTCCATTCCTATTCCTACCCGACAATCTCTCAATAAGTACATCCGCGATTATAACAAAGCCAATTTTTCCAAAATTAATGAAGAACTGGCAGATTTCTATGAAACGTTTTTTCATTGTGCTGCTTTGCGAACAGTCGAACAAAAGTGGGTGTTATTTAGAAACAAATTGCTGTCCGTAATTGACAGACATGTACTTATAATCTGTATTCGCGGGGATGCCGAAAGACCATGGTGCTCTAATTTCTTGAGGAGGCTGTCAAAAAAGAAAAAACGCCTCTTCAGAGAAGCCAAGTTATCAAAATCCCCTGTTAAATGGGAAAAGTATTGCACATTTTTGCGCGAGTACACTTCACTGTTAAAAAATGCAGAAAGGCGATTCTTCGGTCATTATCTCCTCGGCATCCTGCGCGACAACCCACAAAAATTTTGGAAGTATTTGTCTCCTAAAAACAGCGCTGCTCAAAACTTGCCATTTACTAATCCTGATGGTTTGGCCGTTTCCGCCACTGACTCCGCCGAAATCATGAATTCCCATTTTTCATCTATATTCACGCATGAACCCTCCACCGATGTTCCCTCCTTGCCGCCCAGAGACTTCCCGCAGATGCCACGCATTTTTGTTACAAGCGAAGGAATAGCAAATCTAATCGACAACCTTAAATTCTCGAGTTCCCCTGGCCCAAACAATATACCCGCTAAAATAAAATCCCTTGACACTGGTTTTATTCCTAAAGACTGAAAGATAAGTAAAGTCACCCCCGTGCACAAATCGGGAAGCCCTTCAGACCCCTCAAACTATCATCCTATTTCGTTAACATGCATTACCTGCAAGCTGCTAGAACACGTAATCTACTCCCACATTGCAACTCATCTGGACCGAAATTCCTTCTTTTTTTCTAACCAGCACGGGTTCCGGCGCGGACTGTCGTGCAAGACACAGCTGTACGAATTTTCTACTGACCTTCATTTTAACTTAGACTCTTCTTTTTAAACAGACGTAATATACCTCAACTTTTGGCAGGCCGATTTCGGTAGCAGCGGCACGACCAGCGAGCACACGCCTAAGATTTCGCTTCATATTTTTCAGCCGCAACAGGAGAAGACACTGTGACTGAAAGCACCGCGGATCCGGGCCGGCGCACTTTGGTACTCGTGTTGGCATCATTCTTTCATCGAAAAGAGAGGCACAACGAAAGATTGCGCTGTTGACGTCACCGGCTGCCACAGCGACGCTACTCGGACACGGCCAACGAATTTTCTACGAGGGGCGTGAACCATCATTTGGCAGCAGCGGCACGACCAGCGAGCACACGCCTAAGATTTCGCTTCATATTTTTCAGGTTGGTGAATATCTTTTTATGCCATTGTTCTGCTCTCCGCCGCTGCTGCCAAGTGTTGGTGTGTAGTTGTAGGGTGAAACTGCAGTGACATGTCACAATTACGTTGTTGTTCATGTAGTCTTGAACCAGAAAACGGACGCCCGCTTCTGGCTTGTTCAGAATGTAAATTCTCATTCCACCTAGGTGCATGCTCAGGCGTTTCGGAAGAAGCGTGCAAAAAACGGGGGAAAAAAAAACCTGGAAGTGTGATAAGTGCAAGACTGGCGGCCAGAAATCTGAGACTGGTGCGGAAGGGGTGTCAACTGATAGCATAGTAGCGCAGCAACTCCACTCACTTGAACTTAAGATTGATGCACTCCTAGCTTTGCCAAGCAAGCTCCAATCAATGGTAACAGCTGTGCAGCTTCTGTCGAACAAATTTGATGAATTCAGTGAACGACTGCACGCCCAAGAAACAGCTACGAAAGATTTGTCGAAGAGAGTCGGTAAGCTAGAAAAAAATCAAGGTAGATAAAGATGTGGCTTTGATGGCACAAGATTTAGACAAGCTAGAATATCGTAGCCGACGCATGAACCTAGAAATACATGGCATTAGGGAAACTGGGAGTGAGGATCTTGTGGCAAAAGTGAATGAAATTGCGAAACAAATATCACTTCCCTCCCTGACCTGCAGTGATCTTGAAACCATCTATCGGCTACCCGCTAAGCCAGGAAAGACTCGTGGCATTATTGTGCGCTTCATGAATCAGGAAACAAGGGACAAGTGGCTCTCAAAGCGGCGACAGCGAAAAAGCGAAAACAGTAACACATACATTTGTGAGAACATGACTCGACAGGCGCGAAAACTGCTCACTATGACCAAAGAATGGGCTAGGAAAACGGGTTTTGCATTCGTGTGGCATGCCAACGGTAAGGTGCTAGTGAGGCGAGCGAATGGCGAAAGAGCAGTGGTCATTCGGGGAAGCGAGGACATGATACGTTTATCATGAAGAGTGGTAACAGTTGTGTATTTCTCCGGTGATCCAGTCCCAAGATGTCGTACTCACCATCCGAATTCCTACGCGATCTTCCAACCTTAAGAAGCGGCTCTGCGCTCTCAGTTTTTCATTTCAATACCAGAAGTTTAAGAAAGAATTTTGATGAGATAAGCATGTTGTTGTCGGAAACTAATTATCCATTTGATATAATTTGCTTTACTGAGACATGGTTCTCATCAGATGATGATTGTATTTTGATTGATGGTTATGAGTGCATTTCTGCATATCGATTACGAAAGCGTGGTGGTGGTGTCTGTGTGTATGTCCGTGCAAACCTCCCATATAGATTGTTGCCGAGTTTAAGGTCGTAGGTGATAGCTATGAGTGTATAATGTTAGAATGTTCTAATATGTTACTTTCTGTGATTTATCGCCCTCCTACTGGTTCAATAGAAAGCTTTTTGAATTTCATTGAGAAATCACTGGAGAGATCTCTAGATTCTCGCTTACAGACTGTCTTGGTAGGTGACTTCAACATCAATGTGTCACTAGATAACCCCAGCTACGTACGCCTAAATGAACTAATCGAAGCAAATGGTTGTATGAATGTAATTAGCACCCCAACAAGAATAACCGCCACATCGGAAACAACGTTAGACCCATGTATTACAAGTTTCGATACTACTGATGTCAAAGCAGGCGCAATTACTACCGACATTAGCGACCATTTTCCAACATACTGCTTCCTACCAGGCAATCGTGTAATCAAAAGTAAAGATGAAATGCTCTTTAGGAGTTATTCTAGCTGCAATATTAAACTTTTTGAGAACCTTATCTCTGGAATTGACTGGAGCACGGTTACAGAAGAAAGAGATCCTAATAAATCATACAACATATTTTTAAAACACTTGACATCTTTATATGACGCGTGCTTCCCTCTTAAGCCCTACCGAAAACACAGAAAATGCAGAAAACCATGGGTGACAGTAGAACTATGCAACAGAATTAAAGGCAAAAACAACCTTTTTCAAGTTTTCCTATCTTCCAGAGACAAAAACGATTTGCGTAATTTCAAAAAATTTCGTAATACACTGAACAAAGATTTGAAGAAAGCCAAGACGGAATACTACTACATTAGTAAATTTACCACTCATTCAGGAGACGCGCGCCTGCTGTGGGACACAATAAATCAGCTCATTAACAAAAAGGAGATATTCAGACGAATAAAATTTGAAAAACTGGGCATGAGTAAATTAGAAATCACTGACACCTTTAACAAATACTTTTTAACAGTTGGTGAGTCTATCACAGACAGCACGGAAACGTGTTGCGAGAACTATATAGCATCAAATTACCCGTCTAGTGTATTCCTGTTTCCTACTGATCAACAAGAAGTGTTAAAGCTAATCACGTCATTAAAGGATAACTGTGCTTGCGGCCCAGATGACATAAAGCCAAAGCCTTTAAAGGCTATAAGTCACATTATCGCTACACCACTAACACACATTTATAACTTGATGTTATCTTCAGGTGTTTTCCCGATCAAATGAAACTTGCGAAAGTAACTGCCATCCATAAAGGTGGGTCATTTGATGAGCTTAACAATTACAGACCTATCTATATCTGTACTCTCTGTGTTCGTGAAAATGGCTGAACGAGTTATATATAAGAGGATTATGGGCTTTCTAAACGCAAACAATATAATAGCAAAAGACCAGTATGGATTTTGCAAAAACAAGTCTGCTGAGTCGGCTCTACTCAGCATCAAGGAATACATTCTAGACAACATTGAAAACAAAATCTTTACACTAGGAATATTTCTGGATTTTAGAAAGGCATTCGACAGTATACAACACGATCTACTTTTACGAAAACTACCGTATTATGGCATTCGGGGTACCACAGCCCAATTAATACAAAGTTATCTCTCGTCTAGAAAACAATATACCGTTGTAAATAATACACACTCTCAAGTTGAACACATTAAGTATGGTGTCCCCCAGGGATCGATTCTTGGACCAGTCCTATTCCTGCTGTTCATTAATGATATCGTAAATATCGATGGACACAAGAAAATATTATTGTATGCTGATGACACAAATGTTTTTTTCGCAGGTTCAAACGTATGTGAACTATATGAAGAAGCTAACGTTTGGATGAAGAAACTAAATTCATGGTTAAATGCAAATAAACTGCAATTGAATATCGCTAAAACAAAGTACATGTTTTTCAAGCCTAAAGGAGTAGCTCACATACCATGCACTCCAATTTACTTCCAGAGCACCGAGATTCAGCGCACAACAATAAAATTTTTAGGAGTTCTATCCCAAGAACAACTTTCTTGGTCTCCTCACATTGACGCGATAAAAAAAGATCTTTCCAGGAGAATCGGCATTTTAAATAGACTGGGATACTACGTCCCATCAAATGTCAAGCTGTAAATTTACTACGCACTAGTACATTCACGACTAGCATACTGCTCTTTGGTGTTGCTAACAACGACCACTACAAACCTTAATTCTCTGTTGATATTACAAAAGCGTGCTATACGTGCTATATCTAACACTCCCCTTTACAAAAGTGCTCGACCATATTTTAAAATGTACAAAGTATTACCTATAAAACTGTTATACAGACATAAGCTATGTCTAGAGATATTACACCAGTATAAACTAAATACATCACTATTCTTGGACACATATTATGTGAAACAAACACCATACGAGCTGAGAAAGAGCCTAATATACAAATATAGATCACGCACGAACTACGGTGACCAATGATTAGCGTCACAAATTCCAAACATTCTAAACAAACACCCAACTATATTACATTTACTGGAAGACGGAATTTCAGCAAGATCATTTAAAAAAATAATGTAAGAGTTCCTAGTGGATGAAAGCGATGTTTTTCTTGATTGTTGAAATTTGTAGTTAATGATGTTTTTGTATTCGTTGCACCTTGTTCATTATTGTTCCTTGCCTGTTGTTTTTTAGACTCTAATTTGTCTTGTAGAGCAACTCGATTTCCTAATCAAGATGTTTCTTGTTAATTTATTTGATAGAGGGCATGCATTTGTTTGTGTTTGCCACCACTCGAATGAAGACTGTTTGTAATTATGTTCTTTTGTTCACACTTCTGGCGGTTCCTGTTTGATTATGGTGCCCGTGTAAGATAACACGTGATGTTATAATTTTCTGAGTGCTGTGCTTGCGGTGTGTTTCTGCTTTGCTGCCAGGGTGGCACGACCTAGTCAGGCTTTTACTTAGCCTTTAGTCGTGTCCCCCAAGGCAATCTTGTTCAATTTTGCCTTGAATAAAAGCAAACCAAACCAAACCAAACTTTTCCTAAGCTTTCGACCGTGTTTCCCACCGCCGTCTAATAAGTAAACTTTCTTGTCTCAGTATAGACCCCTTAGCTCTATCTTGGATTAAAAATTTTCTAACCGGTCGTGTTCATTATACTGTTGTCGCGAATAATGAATCAACTCGTGTTGATGTAGTTTCCGGCGTACCGCAAGGTTCCGTTTTTGGGCCTCTTTTGTTTATAATCTTTAATAATGATATTCCAGACAAAATTTCATCCACCATCCGCCTTTTTGCAGACAATTGTGTGCTTTACCGTCGCATCTCATGTTGCAATGACCAAATTACACTCCAGAATGACTTGTCTAACATACATAATTGGTGTTCGCGGTGGCCAATGCAGCTTAATACACAAAAATGTAAATTCATGCAAGTTTCGCGCAAGCGCACTAACTTTTCCTTCCAGTATTCTGTGAACTTCCAACCCTTAACCCAGGTCGACTCCTATCGTTATCGTGGCGTAATAATAAGTAAACTAACATGGTCCGAGCACATAAAACAACTAGTCACCGCTTCAGCAAAATCACTTGGCTACATTAAAAGATCGCTTACGTCCTGCCCACCGCAAATCCGAAAGTTAGCTTATGAAATCTTCACGCGTACTAAACTTGAATATGCTTCTGCTACTTGGAACCCTCACCAAAATTACCTAATTGACA